CTCCATGGCTTTTACCTGTTTAGAAAAGTTTTAAGTTGTCAGCCACTCGGGTTTTAGTTTAGATTGTGAGGTCTGGCTCCAGCCAACGGAGATCAGACACAGCAGTAAGGACGACCCCAGCGCGTCAGGGATAAATGTCTGTGGTTCCTTTATTCGTTGTACTCAGTGCTAATTTTTCTTTGTGGCACCGAGCATCTATTTCCAATGTTTGATATGCTACATTAGATGGAAAACTTGTCAAATAATGAGCCACTGAGTCTCCTAGGGCTTGTATCCATAGGCTTGTTTTTGAGATGAGTACTGCAGAAATGATATAAAATCCCCAGAAATCTGATCTAGTATCCTATGATATATATTCTGTCTCATATGTTATTCCTAGAAATCTGGTACAATGTTATCAGTCATAATTTTGGTTATTATAGGAAAGTGCTGCATGCCACAGAAATAACCCAGTTTCCCGGCCTACTGTGTCATTCACGTAAGAAACTCTCGTCAGAGCCATCGCCCGGGCTTCCCTGAGTCTTTGATCATTCACAGTGATTGTCTCACTTTGATTTGTTTCTGAGAGCTTTGCAGTCAGCTGGTTCCGAACGGTTCCTCCTTCAGTGAGACAGGTTTCTGGTTAAGATCATACCCTTGGATTGGGTAAGAATTTCCAGAACTTGAATGAGGAGCCTGGCAGGCCCATGAAGGTGCTATCCAGGATCAACCAGAGCAAGAATTAATGATACGGGAATGAATGAACCCATGAGGATAATGACTTTTGTCTGAAGCATTGCAGTTCCTTAATACTTTGTTTTCCAGATTTAAGAAAATGCTTTTTTTTTTTTTTTTTTTTTTTAAGGATCTTGCTCTGCCCCCCCAGGCTGGAGTGCCATGATGTGAACACACTTCATTGCGGCCTTGAATTTTCGAATTTCCAGGTTCCAGTGATCCTGCTGCTTCAGCCTCCCAAACAGCTGGGACTACAGGAATGCGCCACACATGGTTAATTAAAAAAAATTTTTTTTTTTGTAGATTCAGGGTCTTGCTATGTTGCCCAGGCTGGTCTTGAACTCCTGGGCTCTAGCAGTTCTCCTGCCTTGGCTTTCCACAGTCTGGGATTGCAGGCATGAGCTCCTGTGCCCAGCGTGGGCACGAAAGCTGTCTGTACAAGAGTTGCTGAGGAGATTTCTCTGAAGTCTGTATCAAGTAGGGCAGCTTCAGCTTACAGGGCTTCAGGAAAAGAGCGGTTTTAATCTTCAGTGATTCCGTGAGGAAGGGTGGGAGGAAAACTGGAAATCTTGGTGTCATGACCTGTAGGCAGGTATCGGAGGAAACGTGTTCAGGACCCAGTCTGGGTCACAGGTAGGTGGCAAAACCTCCAGACTGTGAACCGGGCTAGAATCGAATATTGGGGGCACTGTCGTTTTATTTTGAAGCATAATTTTACTCTCTACAGTCAACACATTTCTTTTCTTTTCTTTTCTGAGATATATCTCACACTGTCACCCAGGCTGGAGTGCAGTGGCACGATCTCAGCCCACTGCAACCTCTGCCTCCTGGATTCAAGTGATTCTCCTGCCTCAGTCTCCCGAGTGCTGGGACTACAGGGGTGTGCCACCACGCCCAGCTAATTTTTGTATTTTTTTTTTTTTTTTTTTTTTTTGAGACGGAGTTTCGCTCTTGTTACCCAGGCTGGAGTGCAATGGCGCGATCTTGGCTCACTGCAACCTCCGCCTCCTGGGTTCAGGCAATTCTCCTGCCTCAGCCTCCTGAGTAGCTGGGATTACAGGCACGTGCCACCACGCCCAGCTAGTTTTTTGTATTTTTAGTAGAGACGGGGTTTCACCATGTTGACCAGGATGGTCTCGATCTCTTGACCTCGTGATCCACCCGCCTCGGCCTCCCAAAGTGCTGGGACTACAGGCTTGAGTCACCGCGCCCGGCAATTTTTGTATTTTTAGTAGAGATGGGATTTCATCATGTTGGCCAGGCTGGTCTGGAACTCCTGACCTCAGGTGATCCACCTGCCTCGGCCTCCCAAAGTGCTGGGATTATAGGTGTGAGCCACCGTGCCAGGCTGCAAATTAACACATTTCTATCAAAGATAATAAAAGATTGATTTGTCTGCAGAATCAGTTTGGGCTCATTAAACCTGGCCTGGTTATTTACGTAAGTGGAAGAACAGTGACTAACCACACGGGTTCTTTCTTGGCTTTTGTTTTTCAACAGGATCTCGCCCTGTTGCCCAGGCTGGAGTGGCGGCCCCATCAGGGTTCCCTGCCACCTTGACTGTCTGCGCTGAAGCGAGCCTCCAGCCCTCCAGAGTAGCCGGGACTACAGGCACGTGATGCACACCTGGCGAATTCATTTCTATTTTAGTGGAGAGGAACTCCCACTGTGTTGTGCCTGTGGGGTTCAGCCCTATGAGGGTCAGGGGGTGTCCCCTCTCACCGTGCTGAGGCGCTGGATCCTAGAAATAAGGAAACAGCACACCAAGAGACTGGGTAAGAGCAGCTGGGCCAGGGGCCAACGCCACTTAGAAGCGGACACAGGCGAGGCCCCGACCATCCACGTGCGTCTGTGTTTACTGGGTACAGGTCAGGGGGAAGGGGATTGAGCTCCTCTGAAGAATGGTGATAGGGTCAAGACAATCACGTGAGCAACAAGCAAGGGGCCCATCCCGGTTAGGTCACCAAGGCCAGGAGACGGGCTGTGTGCAGCGTGGAGGGTGCAGTGTGCAACACTTCTTACCTAGGGGCCGGCCCTTCGAGGCTTTTCCACAGTTAGCACGGCTGACAGCACATACAGCCACCGAGGCGCGATTATGCGATTGTACCGGAGGGGATTTTAGCCCTCGGACGCTCGTGGGATTGCCGGCCAGAGGCCAGCTTTCCAGAACTGGACACAAGACACTGCAACTCCCTTTCAGGAGTGACTCTTGCTCCAAGCCTGCCGTACAGTGGGTATCTTTACGACACTGAACGCTGCCGCCTGGGCCGGCCTGCCACGTAGTGCATGCCCTCTCAGCAGGGGCACTGTCGCCTGGGCCACAGGTTCCTGTCCTGATGCGGCTGTTTTTCCCTAGCTTGTGCCTGCACTGTCTGCTCTTGACATCCTCTGACTACAAACTAGGACGTGACGATGTAAAAGGAAATAGATGAGCAGTGAGTTACTCTTCAGGCACTAAGTGTGCCGGGGGGGCTGCTCAGTCCTCCTTCCTCAGTGCCCAGAAGGGGGTTATCAGCGCTTCCCAGGCTCAATTCCCAAGATTCCCAGGTGGGATCCTCCCATCTCAGCCTCCCCAGTAACTGGAACTACAGGCATGCACCATCATGTCCAGCTAAGTTTTGTATTTTTTAGTAGAAACAGGGTTTTGGTCGCTGTGCTGGCCACGCTGGTCTTGAACTCCTGGCCTCAAGTGATCCACCCGCCTCAGGCTCCCAGTGTTGGGGTTACAGGTACGAGCCACCTCGCTTGGCCCAATCTGTCTTGTTCAAGGGTCTCAGCCATGAATCTTGTGACAGGTGAGGAAAAGATAAGACTTCTCCCCACTACAGAGAATCTGATGAAGGTGCAGCTCCCAATAGTGGGCCATGGTCACTCCCGGGGTCGTGAGGTCCTCCAGCCAAGGAGCCCCCTGACCTGAAACGGGATGACGATGCCCTGGGCAGCCCAGGGCTCAGCTGCTTCCTCCTGCCAGCTGCTCTGTCCGAGACACCAGTTCTTGGGCAGTGACGCTATCCCACTGACCCCAAAAGCCAGGACAGCTCCAAGCCCCCCAGCTCAGCTGAGACAAGGGCAGAGCCCCCCGGGCCACGTGTGGTGGGGACCTGAGTGTGGCTGGGCTCTCCCTTTAACACCGACTCCTACATCCTCACAGCTGTGTGTGTGTGGAGAGGGGTCTCTGTGGGCTGTCCCACCATGGTCATCAGCAGCTGCCCCCGGGGGACTCTGGGAGCCTCGTCCAGACATGGAAAAGACTGCAGGAGGCTCAGCTGCCCTTGGGAGCAGCCTCCCACTCCTCAGGAGGCTCCCCCACCCAGCTCAGCACTGAAGCCGGCCTGGATGAGGCTGCCCCCACCCTTTGGGCAGGACAAAGTCTCGGCCATCAGAAGCCACAAGCCAGATGCCTTCCCACCAACTGGTGCAGCTATTTATAGTGCAGGGGGGCAGGGTACCAGGCAAGGAGCACCCACCGAGCCCCTCCCCTCCCCACTGAACCCCATCCTAGGGAGGCCTCTCCCCTCGCCATGTCCCCGGCCACACACCAAGTCTCCAGCCATCTCACTGACTCCCACCCCTCACTATGCCTCTCAACAGACCTGAGTCACTCCCTGCAGTCCCCTGGAGGTGTAGGGACACTGCCTGCCTTGGTTATGAAGGAGTCTACTGAGCTCACAGCCCATTCGCTCCTGTGTGCAGACCACCCCCCGCCCGCCCCCCTGGCTCCAGGCAGGTTCAGCATGTGCCTGCCTAGATGATACAGCCCACCCCCTCAATTCCTGCGCCCTCTGACCTTTAAGCCGGGCTACCTGTGGCAGGAGGACCCCTGCAGAGTGCCTGCGGCCCCTACCCTTCAGCCTGTCTTGGGCAACACCCCTATGGGAGGCCCTTGGGAGACAGCCCTGAAGGTGCCCAAACCCGCTGGGAGGCGGCCTGCCAGCACGCACAGGTCCCTTAGGTGGGAGCTTCCCGGCTCACAGCCAGAGGCTGACTGCCCGGCGGCTCTTCGGGTAAGGGGCCCCAATCCCTCCGAGGACCAGCCCTCCCATGCTCAAGGTGGCTGCTCTGAGGCCTGCTTGCCCAGCTCCAGGACTGCCTGCTGCCCAAGGCTCCCCGGAAGCAGCAGGGAACCCCACCCTTCTCAGCCCCAGCGGCAGCCTCACAGCGGGACCAGGCCCAGGAAGGCCAGGGAGCCAGGCCAGCCCCCAACAGGAAGTGAGGTTGGGAGGGTTCGGCCATTTCTCACACTCAGACGGAAGCTGGGCCACACAGGTCAGGCACACACCATCGGGGCTGCGGCTGCTTGGAATTTATTTTCCGCTTGGTGCCAGGTGCACAGTTCTGGGTGTCAGGAAAGCTGCCGGGCGGTGGAGAGCCGGGCCCTCACTCCTTTTTGGTGTCTGCTGTGTGGATGTGGAGGTCTGCCGGCTGCAGCCGCCTAATCTACGGGGGAGGGGGGTTGGGGGGCGTGGGGGTTTGCGGGGCGGGAGGGGCTCTGGTGGCCTAGCGCCTCCGCAGGCCTGGAGCTGGTGGTCATCGCTCAGGTCAGGACGGCGGCCCAGTGCTGGCTGTGCTGGGCTGACCACCGGGCTGCTTCCTCAGCGCGTCCTGAGCCAGGCCACGGGTGGTCACGCTGCGGGAGGCCTGGGGGGGTTCCGGGTGCTCTGCAGACTCCAGTACCGTGGCCATGAACGGGAGGGTGGACTTCCCGAAAAAGAAGCTGGCCCACCAGTGCCCCGGATCAGCCTTGGGGATACCTGAGAAGCGAAGCAGGGTCATGACGGTGCCAGCTTCTGGTGGGGCCGGGAAGAGGGGGCGGCCCCGCACTCACCCGGGGGGTGGGGAATGGCTTCCGCGGGGCTCTCGGTACTACCGCAGGAACTGTTGCTGGAAGTGGAACCCAGGCGGCCTGGAGAGGAGAGGCCCCGTCAGCAGCGCGGGGCGCGGGGACCCCCAGCCCACCGGCCCTTAGGGGTCCTGCAGGCGGCGCGTGGGGCGCGGAGCGAGCAGGGCGTCTGCGTGGTGGGGGGCAGGGGCTACTCACGCCGGTAGTAGTCGTGGGTGGCCACGAGCGAGCCGCTGGAGGGGATGGCCGCCATGCTCTGGCTTGCGGGCTGGTGGGACCTGCGCAGGGTCGAGGGGCCCCTCGGGTCAGCGGGCCTCGCTAGGGAAGGCGCTCCCGGGCGGGTGGAGCCGCCGCGCGCGGCTAGTTACCGAGGCGGGCGGGGCGCCCCAGCTCCCGGGACCGCCTTCGCCGCGCGGGGCGCGGGCGGCTCCAACCAGCCCGAACCGGCCGCGCCGGAGGAACAAAGGCGCTTTGTGCGCGCGGCCTCCAGGAACCCGGCGCGCGTCGTCCCGACCCGCCCGGCCCGAGAGCGGCCCGCCCGGGACCCCGCGCCCAGCGCGCGCCAGGCGGAGACGACCGGAGAGGAGGGGAGAGGGGGAGCCCCCGGCCCGGCCCGCCCCGCGCACCCCCGGCCTGCTCGTCCCATCCGCGCGCCCCGCGGACCCTCACCTGGGCGGCGACCCCTCCGGGCCTCGGCGCACGATCACGGGAGGCGGGGACGGGGGCGCTAGGCCACGGAGCCCATTTGCAGAGGAGACCGCGGGAGGCCGCTCCACGACCGAGACGGGCGCGCGCGGGGTGCGCAGGCGCGGACGCGCCCACTTTTATGCGCGGGGTCCGGGCGCGTCACGGGGGGCTGGGCGCGCCGGCTCCTCCCCAGCCCCGCTCGGCCCCGCCCCCGCCCCGCTCCGCCCCCCGCCCCGCTCGGCCCCGCCCCGTGCCCCGCCCAACCCCGCTCGGCCCCGCCCCCACCCCCCGCCCCGCTCGGCCCCGCCCCGGGCCCCGCCCAACCCCGCTCGGCCCCGCCCCGGGCCCCGCCCAGCCCCGCTCGGCCCCGCCCAGCCCGTCTCGGCCCCGCTCCCGTGCCCACTCGCTCCGCCCCGATCCCCGGCGAAGCCGCGTCCCCAGCTTCTTCCTCGGTCCGAGTGTCGTCGCCTTGCGGCTTCCGCTGAACCCAGCCCTGCGGTGGCTTTCGTCTGGGACGGCCCGGCCGGGCCTGGGTCTGCCGTGCCAGGCCTCCAGGTCCGAGCCCGGCCATCACAGCCTTGGTGACCCGCACGTACAACTCCGGCCGGTCCCCAGGAGCCAGAAAGTCTGAAGTAACCAGGTGGCCACACAGAGAAGTGAAACAACTTGCTCCTGTCTCAACTAATGGCTCTCCCCCTGCGACCCGCAACCACCGTTCCTGCTCGGCCTTGCGGATTTCCCCCTGCACACTGGGCTTCCCAAGTGACCATGCAGCCCGTGACGCCCTTCCTCTCCCCAAGACACATTACCACCTTTAGCTGACCGGTCGCCCCAACCTATATGACCAGCCCCCTTTCCTACCCGCTTTGCCTAACTCCTTTGGGCTTGGCCCGCTTACACCCAGCGCGAAACAAACCGGCCCCGTTTCCCACGCAAAGCCCGGTGGTGTCGGCACGCGAGCGACGCGCCTGACAAGCAGGGGTTAAAAGACTCCGCCCCGAGTCCCAGAGCCCCGCCCCCTCCCCGCCCCGGGTTCAGGCCCCGCCCTTCCCCGCCCCGCCCCGGTCCCAGAGCCCCGCCCCCTCCCCGCCTTGGGTCCTAGAGCCCCGCCCCTTCCCCCACCCCGGTCCCAGAGCCCCGCCCCCTCCCCGCCTTGGGTCCTAGAGCCCCGCCCCTTCCCCCCCCCCGGTCCCAGAGCCCCGCCCCCTCCCCCCGCCCCGGTCTCAGAGCCCCGCCCCTCCCCCGCCCCCGGTCCTGGAGCCCCGCCCCCTTCCCCCGCCCATCCCCTGGAGCCCCTCCCCTCCCCCCGGGTCCTAGAGCCCCTCCCCCTCCCCGTCCCAGAGCCCCGCCCCCTCCCCGCCCCGGGCCCTAGAGCCCCGCCCTTCCCCCCTCCCTCCCGCCGCCCCATCCGCCGGCCCTGGCCGGTCTCGGAGCCCAGCCTGGCCCGTCCGGTCCGTCCCCTCCAGCCGCCGCTCCTCCCCGGCCCTGGCCCTGCTCCGAGCCCAGCCTGGCCCAGCCCGTCCCGTCCTCTCCAGCCCCAGCGGAGGCGGCGGGAGCGCCGGGCGGTCCCCCAGGTGCTGCGGGCGCGGATCCCTCCGGGCCGGCCTCCGGGGACTTCGCAGCCAGAGGATCCCGGATCCCTCCGGAGCCCCGCTCGCAGCTGTGGCGCCTCTGGACCCTGCGCCCAGGTTCCCAGCCCCAGGCCGCTCCGGCCGCCTGCAGGGGGCGGTGAAAGGGTGGGCGGGCGGCGGGGCGCAGACCGGAGGGAGGCGGGTTTCGGGGTTGAGGGTCAAGGCTGCCGCTTAGGGCGAGTCTCCTGTCTCTGGAGGCTGGGGCTGGGCCCCGCTGCGCAGAGAGCGCATGTTTGGGGGACCCAGGGCGCTCCCGGCAGGAGCCCTGGGGACGGCCCGCCGCGCCTGCTGTCCATCAGGAGGGGCGCGTCTTCCCTCCCCAGGTAGAACGGCGTTCCGCCCCGCCCCGCCCCGCCCCGCCCCGCCCCGCCCCGCGCAAACTCCTCCCCCCCCGCACCCCAAACACCGCCCCCACCCCTCCCTCGGCTCGCGGGGGAAGGCGGCCACCCCGACGGAAACCCCGTTTCTTTACAGGCGGGGCCCGGCTGGGCGGCGTCTTCCCGGCGGAGACGGGGGTCCGCGGCGCGGCGCAGTCCGAGGCTCCGGGAGTCGGGCCGGGTGGGCTCGTTTCGGGGCTCCCGGAGCTGGCGGGGCGGCCGTGTGCCCGTGTCGTTCCGGAGGCCGAGGCCGACGACACCGGACTCCGCCCCGCGGGCGCTCAGACGGGGCCCAGAGCTCGGCAGGGACCCCGGGAGGCCCCAGACTTGGAGGGGCGCCCTTGTGCCCCTGAGCAGGTGGGACGGCGCTCGCGGGCCCCGCCCCGTTCTGTGTGCCCATTTCGGAGCGCGTTAAGCACCCGCTGTGTGCGTGTGGCGGGGCCAAGCGCAGGGAGCCGCGAGCCGGAGGGGAACGGCCTTCCCGTGGCGGGCGGAGCGCAGAGGCTGCGGCGGGGTCGGGTTCAGCGAGGTCTGCGCAGGAGGGCAGGGAACCACCTGAGCCCCCGCTGGGAGTCTGAGCTCGGTGCTGGGTGGCCGTGGGGGGACCTGCCCTGGGAGAGGGGTGCGGCCCCCGCTGGGTCACTGATGAGGCAGATGGGTCAGCGGCGTTGACACTCGGAGGGTGGAACTTTATGACCAGACCCAGGCTTGTCTCTGGAGGCTTGCACTGCCAGCCCGAAGGACCCGCAGCCCAGCGCTGGCCCACCACAGCCTTCTGCATCCGTGTGGGCCAGGGGCACTCCCTGGACAGCCCCTCACAACTGACTCAGCAGCCTGGGCAGCAGACCGAGAGACATCTGCAGCCCAGGAAGTGGGGGTGGGGCCTGGGTCGCAGGCCACCCCATCTCTGAGGCTGAGAGCTGCCCATCCTGAATCTGGGCATGGTGGTACCTGAGCTGGGGTACAGCTGGTTGGGGTGAAGGCTGGTGCCAAGCCTTGGGTCCTGGCCAGGACTCGGAGCAGCACTGCCCCAGGGTAGGCAAAGGGACTGGGGTCACCGGGTCAGGTCTCTTGTGGCAGACCCATTGAGGGGAGCATACAGGGCCCAGCCTTGGGGAGTTCCCTGGAGAAGGGGGCGGCCTAGGGCCCTTGCAGGGATCTGGAGACCTGCCAGGGCTTCTCCTGGCCAGGCTGGGGCTGCCTTTGGCCTTGTCTGGGCCGAGTACAGTTCCTGTGGGCAGAGATGGGGTAGCTGGGGGGAGGGGGGCGGTCCCATTTTGGCAGTTCAGGACATAAGTTTGGGTAAATGCCGAATAAGCACCAGAGCAGGGAGGGGCTCCGGGCAGCGGGAGCTTCGGTAGGGGGTGGGTGTGGAGGGGCTGGAGCCAGGTCTGGCCCCTGCAGAAAATGCTCCCTAGTGGTGCTCAGGCTCTGCCCCTCCCTCCGGCCTTCTTGGGCTGGCTCAGGACTGGGCAGCTGTTGGTGGGGGACAACGGGGGGAACGGAGCTAGGCAGTGCTGACTCACCACTTAGTTTGGGGTCCTGAGACCCCCCCCAGGACCTCAGGAGGCTACAGAGCCCCCAACCCCAACACAGACCTGTGCCTGCCCTCAGGATGGAGGAGCCTCCACCATCCCAGAAGCAGGCTAGGGCTACGGAGGGGCCGTGAGACTGGGGTTGCACTCAGGGCGCCCCTCTCTCAGGTTGGAGTTGCAGCTCCCTTGGGTGGGGGCTGGGAGACCTGCTGATCTGGCTTCAAGATCGTTGCAGTTAGTGGGGGGCTGTTTGGTGCTGTTGGGTTAGACAGGGCTCCGTTCACACTGAGCCCAGCAGAGCCTCCCACAGCCAGCTCCAGACGCCAACACCTGCCTTCCTGGCCAGTGCTGAGCAGGGCCACAGGACACGGCCTGTCTAGCCGAGGGCTGGGCTAGCTGTGCCAGGCCGGGCCTGGGACTCGGAAGGCTGCGCTGTGGTAACCTCCGGCCAGGGACTCTGTCCTGTTAGAGCTGTCCCAGGTCTGTCCTCAGGGGCAGACACTGAGATGGAGTTTGGGTGCAGAGTGAGCACTGGGACCAGCACCTGGGAAGGGGATGGGGAGGGTGCAGGGCCAGGCCTGGCTGGACAGGGATTGGGACGGCCCGCGTTGGCATGGCCAGCACAGTCTTGGTGCCTTCCTTGGACCTGGAGGCAGCCACCCAGGGACGGGAGACCCTGGTGAGGTGTCTGTGACCCAGGCCCACCCTGACCTGAAAGAGCCGACGGGGGGTGGGGGGCCGTCTGCCGACCACGCCCTGCTGGACAGCCGGTCTTCTGACCCCCTCTAGGCTGGCCTGACCAGTCCACCTCATTCTCAGCCTCACCAACTGACATCAATCGCAGAGACTCTGAAAGGAGGCATTTTCATTTTCCTTAAAGTGAAAAGGTAAAAACTGCACTTACTGAGCCAGGACGGTGGGGCTCTGTGAGTCCGTCTGCACAGCAAGCCTCGGGGACACTGCATGGCTGGCCGATGCATCCTGGCCAGGGCGGGAGAGGGCGGCCAGGCCCGCTGGGACCCCCAGCCTCAGTGAGGACCCCGGGATGCCCTCAGGGGCTGCCCCCTGGTTCTTGTCCCCTCCGAAGTGCAGTGGAGGCGGCAGATGTCACTGGCCCACATCCTCGTCTGGCTGAGGGGCTGCTGATGGCCCCTGCCTGTGGCTCTTGCTGGGAACCATGTGGCCTGGGCTTGGACCACATCCACCTGCTCTTGCCAGTGGCTGAGCCTGGCTTTTCCCATGACAGTGGCCACAGACAGAGGGGACCACGCCACCAGGAGGGATGAGTTCAGCGAGTATCAGCTCCCCTCTCGCCTGGCTCTGAAGGTTCAGTGGTGCCCTTGGTGTGTCTGGGGGCTTGTGGGAGGCCCCAGGTCTGCAGGGCCGAGTGCGGGGTCAGGAAGCAAGAGCAAGGAGAGACATGGCACCCGAGCCTCTTTGGCTGCAGGAGAAGGGGATGGAAAATGCATTGTGTGCAGGCGACGGGAGGCCGGACCAGCCCTGGTGCCTGCCGGGCTGTGATCACTGGCAGGGATAGCATCGATGGGACAGTCAGCGGAGAGGGCAGCACAGCTGCACGAGGGCGGT